GACGGACTTACTGAAAATGCAAATTCATTCTCTTCCAGCAGGAGGTGCTTTAAAGCTTTTGATATTGTGGCGAGCGCCACAAATAAATAAATGTATGGCAAACACATCCCACAGCACAACCACCTGAGCCCAACTTCAGTCTACTCATCATCTTAACTTTAACTGCGTTTGCAGCCGGCGCCATAGCCAGACTGATAAACAAACACAGACGCGTGCGCCCGATGAAACCGTCTATAGATGCTGCATCCATAGACCTTAATCAGGTTAGACACCATATTGAATTTAATGTGGAAGAAAGTGAAATTGCGGGATCCTTATTATCCTTATAACTTATTTATTATACAATGGTTTATGCACTTGTCATCAGAAAAAAACAAAACAAAAACAAAGAAATAAGTAAAAAAATAAAATAAACAGAAAAAAATAAATGTCTTCCTGAACTTGTGTGAAGATTTGGATCACAATTTTCACCAATTTTCGTTTGTTGTTAAACAATAGTACAATCTGTACTGTACTGAATCTGAACGCACTGTACTTCAGTCCCTCACAGCCTCGTTTTCATTCCTGTCAAAAATTAAATACAGCGCTACCCTGACTAAGGTCTATCCCATCTGACATGTTTTTTCACTGACATGGAAAAGTTCAGTGTTTCAAACTCATAATTATGGCTTTGTGTGACTATGAGGCGTTCATGTGCATTTAACTCAAATACGATCTTTCTGACATGACTTGAACCCACAATAATACAGAGAGATCACCGGCTAGAGCTGTACATTGGAATGCACATGTACGTGTATGTGTGTGTCCTCTGCTGTCACACTTGTAGCTCTGGGTTTATAACTCTAAGTGCGTCTGGACATCAGGGACTGATATGAGACGAGACCAGCCGCAAGTGTGTGATGATAAAGTAGGTCGCCGCATACATCAGAGGAGTTGCGTGTGTGTGAGAGCAGAGGTGAGGGGCTGAACCGGCTGCCGCGATCGAGATCCTGAGAGACTCGCTGGTCTCCGTGGAGACGGGAAAAGCAGGCCGCCAGCGAGACAGAGAGCAACATTAAAAGACTCGCAACAAGACACACAGAGAAAGCCAATCAATAACACGCACACAACAAAGCCGTGAAACAAACCTCACATGCTTTTAAATGCAGAAATAGAGGGAAAATTGCAGGAAAATAAAACCGGCCTCCATCTGCAGACTATAAAAATGCTGCATCCATCAGTCTCTCTCTCTGTAATTGGACAGGCTCAGTCATCAAAACTCACATGGCCTCCTTAAAAGTGCCTCAAAATGCATTCACATGCGCCTATATAAATGTGATCAGGGGAAGCAATCTACATTTTTATATTTTTCAATGAAATCGAGCGCTTGTGCAAAATGCACTGCCGTGATGCATGATGTGCTTGCCAGGCCGTTGCTATGCGGTTCTGGGTGGTTGCTAGGTCTCAAGTCTGTAGATATGGTTCTGGTCTTTCAATGTGCATCTGTGGGATTGTTTTCACTAGTTTTCTGGTCCAGCTGGTGAAAATGGTATGTCTGATCACTTAGTAAAGTAACATCACATCTTTTCCTCGACAATGCAGATGATTTTATGAATCATTCATGATGAGTTAAGTGCTGCAGTTCAATATTAATACACCATTTCCTAACCAGGTGTGATCTTATAAAGCAACAAGCGACACAAGCTATTTATTCCATGTTAATTAAACCAAAAACTGTACTTGCACTTTACTTTAATAATCAAAAATGGACTGAAAAACACTGAATACTAACAGATCCCTTGTTTTATACAAAGAAAACCATAGAAAGGATCATAAAAGCCAGTAGAAAACAAAGTATGCACACTCTTCGGATGCCGTGCATTGCAAGTATGAACAAAAAACTGTCCTCACTGTTCTGAAATAAATAGAAATGGGATAGAAAAGACAGTGTTGCAACCATACTGAATTTTTTAACTTCAAAACAATGCCTTAAAAATAGCAATATTTGATACCATAAGAAAAAAACATTAAGAGCAAAAACTTGAACATTATCTAATTACATTTACTTTTGACCAGACAATGTATTTTCTTATTAGCTGAAACTGTGCTGTCTGAGACTTTCCGTTATTTTTATTATTTCTAAGATTTCTAACGTTTTCTCTGAATTTTTTTTAACAGTTTAACACATTTACCACCAATACCAATTAATATTGTAATGCATAAGTGGCATCTTATATCATAAATTCTAATTATTTGTAGTTATTGTAATATTATAATTATTGTTCTTTTAATAAAATAAACACTGTATATTATTATACACTATTGTTTAAAAGTTTGGGGTCAGTAAGATTTTCTTTTTTGAAAGAAATTAATACTTCTATTCAGCAAAGACACATTAAATTGATTTTAAAAAACAGTAAAGAGATTTATAAAAATTACATTTTTTTAAAAAGTATTTTCTTATCAGTTAAAACTCATTTTTAGATTTCTCATTATTATTTTCATAATTACAAGACTATTGTAATACAACTGCACTGTAAAATAAAAAATATTTCATGTACATGAATTATTGTGCTGTACAATAGTAAAATGGCAAAACTTATGTGATTTGCCATCACAGGAATAAATTACATTTCAAAATATATTCAAATAGAAATCAGTAATTTTAAATTGTAATAATATTTCATAATTTTACTGTATTTTTGACCAAATAAATGCAGCCTTTGTGAGCAGAAGAGACTGCTTTCAAAATTATTCCTAACTTATGACTAGGGATGCTCCGATCCACCTTTTTCGCCTCCGATACCGATTCCGATACCTAGGGTTCGGTATTGGCCGATACCGATACCGATCCGATCCGATCCGATACCAGTGAAGTTTTTTCCCCTCATTTAAATACAAAACAATTTATAGTCTTTTCTACGCCCGTGTTTTGTTCTCACAGAGACCCGGTAGCAAGTGACAAAACAACATTATACTCCGGCAAGAAGATAAAGTCCTTTTGACAGCCACAGTGGAGAAAAGAGTTTGTGTGAACTTTAATGTAAGGACTTAAATATTCATATGTAGCTCACATTAAGCTATCGTATGGCTTCAGAAGTAACAGAATAATTCGCACAATCGAGAAAAAAAAAAATAAATAAAAATCTCGGATTTGGATCAGCCCTCTCTGACCGATACCCGATCCGAGAAAAATGGCACTATCAGAGCCGATACCCGATATGAATATCGGATCGGCGCATCCCTACTTTTGACTGGTAGTGAATTTAATTGAAATGCACCAACTTGCAAACATCCAAAACTACAAAACCTGATGTCAGAGAGAAGAGAAAGCGCAGCTACCAGTGTATCTATACAGCGGGAAATGAGTATTGAAATGAGTATTTCAGTATCAAAATATTTTTGATAACACTAGGGTAAGATTGCTGGAAAGACCTGCCATAGGAGTGTGAGAATGAGCAACAGTAACAAACACCCACAGAAAGAGAGAGGAAGATCATATGCTCGAGGTGCTGTCGCATTACATCAACAATCAGTGCCGTGACCTCACTGCAGAGGTCACTGACCTGCGACCCCTCCGTCAGCACACCAGAGGAGCAGAGGTCAGTTCTGCACATACACACACACACACACACACACACACACACACACACACACAAACGCTCGTGTTTTACGGACAGGATCAGACAGATGGAAGATCTGAAAAGGGCAGCATTCATTTACAGTCAGATATCAGAAAAGGTTACCCTACATCAACTCAGACAGCTGGACACATGCACGCACACACTCGGCGCTCAGGTGGTGATGAGGAAAACAGCTGACAAAGATGACATTTCAAGGTTTCGTATTCCATATTCAAAACAGAAAACACTCTCTCTGTGTGTGAGAGAGAGAGAGAGAGAGAGAGAGAGAGAGCGAGAGAGCGAGAGAGAGACCGCGGCGGATGCATGACAACGTCACACTCTTTGAAGGTCATTTGCTGAAGGGCGAAGCCATATACACAGACCTAAAAACTCTCACACACACATCTTGTTAAAGTCGACAGTGCTGTATATCGTATCAGATATAAATATGCAATAAAACTGTAAAGGCCAGTCATAGAGGACAAAGAGCAGGTGGCAGGAAACACACACACACACCCACACCTGACACTTGCTTCTTGCTCATTTCTAATTCATGAGGAGCTTTTGCATACAGTCACCGAAAATATGACATCCGGGTGAATCTCATGAAACTCTTCAAGATCATGTGCAGGTCAAATTTAACCCCAAAATATCAAGGAAAATATATGAAACAATAATTTGCTGAAAGAACAGACTACGTTTAGGGCCATTAAGATTATTTGCACTGTTATGATGTTTTTTTATTTTTTTATTTACTTTTTTTTTTAACATGACAATTAATCACACTTCTGGTCTGGTGAAGAGCCTGCATGCATAATTTTAGTACTTAAGCAACAATAATCGATAAAATAAAATAATTGATAAAAAAAATTACCCTTAATACAGTAATGAGAATCACAACTGAAAATTATAATTAAAAATAAAAAGTAAATAAATTTTTTGTTTTTGTTTTTTTTTTGCTTTACAATTATGGTCCTATATCTGGCTTCATTTTCTTTGTTTTATAGTTTCTGTTTTTTGTTATTTATTTCAAAATAAGTTTTGGGGTGAATTGTGGACATGTTTTCATGAAATTCACCCTCTCCTTCAGAAAACACACACACACACACACACACACACACGCACACAAACACACGTGTCTACACTGAGATGACACTCATCTCTTTCACATCCCTGTATTCTGTCATCCATGTTTGGCCCAGTATCTCATGGTGAGAGTCTCAGCGGACACACACACACACACACACACACACAGATGTGCAAGCACAGAGCAAGGGCCGTCTCTTACCTTTAGAGGCTGTGTTGAGTAAGACAGACGGAGGAGAGAAAGAGAGAGAGACAGGTTTAATGTGTGATAGTGAGTGTGTGATGTGACTGGAGGACGGTTGATCTACTCACTCTTGGTCTGGGTGGAGAAGGTCAGGGTGAGTTTGGCAAACAGTTCCTTGTTCTCAAAGCGCTCCTCCTTCGCCTTCAACCAGAAACTGCCTTCAGACAGATCCTCCGCTGCGATCTACGACATAAAACACTCATCAACACCTTCATCCCTCTATATCTGGGGTCTTCAACTAAAATTGCTTGAGGTCCAGTAATGAACCCTCCTCACCAGCAGAGGTCCGGACAATTATATACCTAAAAACATGAATTGATGGGTTTTGCCAGACCAGGGTATCTGCAGGATATTTAAGCTCAAATTTAAGACTTTAAGACCTTTTTTAAAGACCTGCACAAATAAAAATGCCTGTAAAAAACAGTTGAGAAACAGGTTTTCACAAAAAAACAAAAAGTTTTATAGTAAACGTCACATTTTAGCCTTTAAACCATATTTCATATATATATATATAGTCAAAAGTATCATTATTAAGACCTTTTTTAAAGACCTGCACAAATAAAAATGCCTGTAAAAAACAGTTGAGAAACAGGTTTTCACAAAAAAACAAAAAGTTGTATAGTAAACTTCACATTTTAGCCTTTAAACCATATTTCATATATATATATATATAGTCAAAAGTATCATTATATTAATTATATTAATTTAAACAATTATTGTTAATCATTACATTACTTAAATAATAATACAAATGTAATGTATGTCTTAATTGTTTAGATTTTTATAATGCATTATCTTCTTGTCAATCCACCAGTTCACATTTACAACTCCGCGTGTTTGGTCTGAACAGAAACAGCAGACGGACTTAATAAAAATGCACATTCATTCTCTGCCAGCAGGAGGCGCTTTTGGAACAGCAGAAATATAGCAGTTACAGGTAACGGCTGTAAACAAAGCAGCGCAGCACTTGACTTTGAAACCGCAGCGCTCAGGTTTATTCAATGAAATCATAGGCTTTTGAAGTTTAATCATCACTTTAAGCCGTCTTTCCGTCCCCAAATTTAAGATCTTCTGAAATCATAATTAAGACTTTCTTGTACCATTTAAGACTTTTTATCGAAACTTTTCTGAAGACAGTCAGTTCTCTTCAGAGATACATTCATATAAAACACCGGCGCTGCGTTTTGATTTTGAAACGTGCAGTGCTCATGCTTATTCAACGAAGTCAAACGGCACAAATAAATCAATGTATGGGAAACACTGGTAATGTATATCGAAATATCGGAAATGTGTTTAAAAATCATATCACCGTTATTGAAAAAAATTATATTGCGATACATATTGATATTGAATTATTGTCCAGCCCTACTGCACGCACACCTGCACGTCTGACCATAGCAACAGTGAAATGTAATAACATACTGTGGCGCCGTAGAAGCCAAACGGCTCTACTGAGCTGACCTTGATGTGCCTAATATCAATTTGATTTTATTAGAAAATAGCGTTTACTTTATTTTGTTAAAAGGCTTCGCAGTCCAGATCGCCAGTTGGCGACCCCTGCTCTATATTTACATCCATCCATACCTTTCATATATCTCTAATTTTCAATCATCCATTCAACACCTGTGATCCATATATCCCATGAGTCTATTCATCCATCCAATCCATATATAACATTCATCCATTTGTTTATCCACCCATCTTAAAATATTATAATCTTTTCTCCAATTGTCAAGAAATGGAGGACAAGAGCTCAGTTAAAGGCACAATATGTAATTTTCGCCGCTAGAGGGCGCGTATTCAAAATAAACAAATAGACAAAGGCGTAGTTTGATGACGCCGTGACTGAGTGTGGAATCATGGGAGTTGTCGTCTTCATCCACACAGCCGATACAATCCGACGGGACTCAGGCTGAAATCATGTTCATGGATGAGCTAATGATTTATTAACATAGTAGAATGAAGCAGGGTGAGGCTGAAAGCCGCCGAAGCAAAACGAGGCCACTGAACGAGCG